GAAGCAAAATTTCCTTTTTTGGAAATTTGTGTAACGTCACGTGATAATTGACCAATGAGATTATTTGGGATAAGGGATGGGATAAGGGATATGGGATATGGGTGGGATTGGGATTTGGGATTGGGATGGGATTTTGGCAAATGGGAGGGGATTTTGGCAAAAGGGATGGGATATGGGATGGGATGGGATAGGGGATTCTCCCATCCCATTTAATATGGGTGGCAAGTATAAGAGGTACGGTTTTTAAAAAATGTATGTGTGTAACATGACATACTTTCTATAAAAAGAATATAAATCATTCATTTTATGATATGTGGTGTTTGAACGGTGAGGTTACGGCGTAGTTGTATTAAAATCTTGAAATTTCCTATTCCTGATAGACCATGAGCTCAGTTAGTATAAATCTATTGTATTATTATTTATTGGTCAGTCTGTTAAGATCATGCTGATTTTGACGGACTGATATTTTTTGTTAATGGCTAAGTAATATTTTTTTTTATTGTTAAATATGACTATAAATTAATTCTTTAATAAGTTTATACTTTTTAATACTCTTACAATAATAATTACTGTACATGATCTTGCGTGATTGACGCAATATCTATTATATATGCTTTTTTTATTTTTATTTTTAATATATAGACAGAATCGGAACCACTAGCCACTGCTATTAGTACGAATTACAAAAACGTAGCAAACTAAACTAAAGCAAAGTAAATTCAACCCCCAAGGAACTGGATAGGAGTAGTCCTGCCTAGTTATTCACGAGAAACCCTAGGCATAGCCGGATTAACCACCAACAAGAGACGCCGAAAAAAAAATAGGAGGGAAACAATATAAGTATCTAAATTATAATTACGAGAAATTAAAGAAAAAGAAGAAAAAAACTCTTATGTCTATTGTAAAAAGATTGTCGATCATGACAATCATGAATATAACTAACTCCAGCCACCCACATGCAAATAATTGGATGTAATAAGGATGACCAATGTGGAATAATGATTATTAATTCTTAAATAGTTGATGCGCAGACGTTCATCATTTCGATGCTGATGGAGGAAGTGAAAGACCGGAAGACCCTTACTACCTTAAGTTTCAAAGGGTCACACGACACTCAGTTATTTATTTTTATCACAGTTCCTAGTTAAAATTCGTGATTTTTTGAAAAAATAGGTAAAAAGTCTATCAATAATAAAAGATCTATTATGATTGGTCAAATAGGTATATTGAAAGGCTTTATGGTACGGAACCATGATATAAATAAGTTATTTCACGGAGTCACTGTGGGAATATGAAAACAGAAACTTATCACATGATTATTATACGTAAATGATGATTTGTTTGATTTTGTATCTGTATCTCGGTTTGTTTTTCCAGTTCTTTTCCCTTCTTTCCTCCTCTTCTATTACAAAGGCCTAAATAAAAATATTATTGTTATTGTCCGGAGCGTAGCGAAGGACTATTTATTGTACGGAATTAGATAAATTTCTAGTACCGGTTTAACCTATGTATTTTCCTTATGTCACTATAATTTAGCCCCCTTTTATGTTTTGTATCACATTTGTTGTAACGCGTTATTTTTAGCAACACATTTTGTAACACTTTGTCACATTTTTGTAAATTATTGTTAATATTTAAGCGGATTAAGTGACGGTTTCCGTTTCCTAGTTATTATTCTAGTTTGTTTATAATAAATTTCTTGAATTTTATTTTATAAATCGAGTAGTTACTGTTAGAAGTTATAACGAGAAATTTTATCACTCTTTTAGATGTTATACTGTAATTAATTGAGTAATAAGTTTTCTCTATTATGAACGTACAAAGAAATAATGATAATTAATTACTATTTTTAAATTTGTTACTATTAAAGCTATAAATTAATAATTGCAAATTTAAATAAAAATTAAATATTATAGATAAAACGAAAAATTGAATTTGTATGAATACTCTTAAGCTAAAATCTGTCTTAAAATGGGGAATGATGATACTTGGTCATATGGATATATGAATGGTTGAATCAGTTGAGCCTTTATTTTTACTTTATATATGGTAAATAATATAAAGAATATACCCTTTCAGCGAAATGTATAAAACAATATTATATTAATAATCAATAAATAACGTAAATTATTATTACTATTATTTTTTTAAGGGTGTTATATAGTGTTGGTCTCCGTAAATAGTTGTAAGTCCAAAAGTCAAGTAAATATAATGGTTGTAAATCATAATTACCATCTTTCAATAATGTAGTATTTACAGCCAATTTACAGCTTACGTTTATAATATTACAACTGCTAAAAGTTGTAATTCAATATATAATAATTGCTACTTACGGCAACCAACCTTAGTGTTATAACTTTATTGATAAATTATTTTATATAAAACAAAATTTCTCTATTCTTTCAGTTTTACCCACCCGATCAATGAGTTGTGGCCGATGAAATAAAATTTCTTTCAAATTTCTAGCATTTACAGAGGGATTAAATATATTCAAATTTTGTATAATTAAGTGTAAAATATAAATAAAATTTCAAAGTAAGAATAAAAAAAAACTAGGAAAAAAAATAAAAATAAAAATTCTATAACAGATAAGAACGAAAGATAAAATAAAATAAATTAACTAAAACAACTATATCAATAAATTATATAAGGAAAAATGACTTTGCAGGTAATATCGCTAATTTGTGAAAATCGTAGATCTACATATAGTATATCTCCGTTTCAAAATTTTGTGGAGTAAAAAATTCCGTGAAAAATATACCGAAAACTGACGTACTGAAAATCAATGAAATAAATATATTTTTGAAAACAAAAACCTGTCAAGAAAAAATTCTATCTAATAATCCCAACCCTTCAGAACGGATATATATGTTGAGTTGTGCATTATTCCTATATTTATTATGTATTTATTTTGATTGTTAGTGATAAGTAAAGCTTAATGATTATCATAATATAATTACCCATCAGATATCGATCTTTCAATGTTCATTGAATGTTCCTCAAATTCCAAAGTATTTGATCCCTTATTTCCATTTTCTTTCAAATATTTATTTATAGAACTTTTGTCTTCGCCTGGGAAATTTGGATCTGTTTCACAGCCAATAAAGATGAACCACTTGTTTTTTCCAGTAAGGGATATCTAATTATGAAATAAAACATGGTTTATATAGTAGCTGATTTTTAACCATTTCTTCAGTTAAAGGGTCAAGAACGTTTTTTATATAAATACCGTAAAATCCCTAAAGCAAGCACCCCAAAAGTAAGCACCCCTTACCAGAATTATTACAATTTTGGCCTACATTATGATGAGCTTGGCTGGCATTATGTGCATGCTTACTTTCGGAACTTTACGGTACTTCAAGAGGCTACTTTGAAACAAAAATTATTATTGCGAAAGGACTTACCCTCCAACCCACAATAAGAAGTAATGGTAAGTTATTCTTACACTTGTCATCAATTTCATAGGTAACAATCCCGCAAGCTTTTTCAATTGTTGACTTGGACCTTCTATAGTATGTCAAATGTGGCATATTGATAAACAACTTATAATGAGAAAAATAACAAACAGGATACTTACATAAATCCCATTTCTCTGCGATTTATTGTTACGGGTAACGGTGTAATTAATTTATTCCCAATATGCTTTCCATGATGAAATGTATTCCTAGATTGAGTATTATTAATATTAATTGTTATCCTGTTAACCAAGTTGTTTTGAACAAAATTATTAATAGCCGATAATGGTATCGGTGGAATATTCATGGCTTATTTTAATAAAAGTTACGTAATAAAAATGATAGATGGTAAAAATAGAAAATAGAATGAATGGCTATCTTGAAATTGGGTAAATTATGACGAGATCCGTGAATTTGCAACAGCAAAAAAAATTAGTAAGAAAGGAAAAAATATTAAGAATGTAGGGATTTCATATACTGTTATATACCTTACATGCAGATCATTTCTATACCCGTAATCGAAATTTGTGTCACAAGTAGATTATGATATAACTTTTGATATGCACCGTGCATTTCTACACTTTTGGATATAGGTGTGATAAAAAAAAAGTCACCTGCTAGATTTCTTTGTTTTTTCTTGGTCTCATACCCATTTTTGGAAAGTATACCTAGTCAATCTTCCCACAAAAAAAGCTCAGGCACGTGATCCGTGATTTGGCTGTGTTTGATGCGATATAAATAAATTTTTTTTTTCTCACTTATGTAACGTTAGGCTCCAGTCATGTCTATATCTTAAAAATAAAAATAAAAATAAAAATATTTTTTTTCTCACGTCAAAATATTAACTCCTATAACTCCTATTTCTTTTTTTCATTTTTATCACATATTTTAAACAATAAATATCAATATTTTAGTTTGTTTTAGCAAGTATTAAAGTATTTATATATATTAATTTTAAATATTTTGTCGTTTTTAGTAGATATATGTTGTAATACTGAGAAATTTTAAAAACAAAGAAAAAAAAATTTTTATTTCATAAATATATAGAGTAAAAATTTTTCTATATTATTTACAGTATTATTCAATAAAGAAAATTTCAAAGTTTACACGGGGTGTTTGAACACGGGTCATATGAAATATAATGACACCAATGTCACACCTTTTACTTTTTCTATGCAATATATGTATTTTTGACTGCTCTGCAAGTTTACTTAAGGCATCAAAGGGGGTTTTGAATGCCGTTTTTGACTAATATATGAAAAACTGTCTTTGCCAATCATTTCCTAAATTTTTTCAAGAGCGATCGGCAAAATCAATTATTCATAGGCAAAGTCAAAACTGACATTCAAAAGCACCTTTGATTCCTTAGATAAACTTGTAGAGCAGGCAAAAATCCATTTATCTACTAATTTTGAAGTTTATACTATTAGTCAAAATGGCAATAATCACATGACCCGGGTTCAAACACCCCGTGTACAAATAGAAATTGCCTTCAATAAAATATAATAAAACTATTTAAAACTTAAAAAATTTATTTTATTTCTATTGATTTTTTTACTATAAAGTTACTTAAATATATTAAAAGTCTTTGAATTTTTTGCCAATTTTGATCTAGTACACTCCCCGGTGAAAAGTCTCTGACCACCCTAAAATCAATAATGCCAGGGTTTTTTAATAAAAAATTTTTCATTTATATTAAACTTTATAGTGAAAACCCCTAATTTGAAGTGTTTATTTGCTCAATTGTTAGTAAAATTTCGCAGAAATATTTAATTTTCATGGTGGTAAAAAATTTGACTTTTTAACCAGGACAGATACAACAAAACTGACGCCAGAACTTGATTCTTTGACATAAAAATAGCTTATGGGCCAAAAATCAGGACGATTGGATCAGCAGTTGTTAAGAAATCCACATCTGAAAATCATCAAAAATCGGTAAAAATGATGATTTACATATGAAATTCGTAAAAATTCATGGGTTTTAGAGGTGGATTTCTTAACAACTGCTGATCCAATCGTCCTTATTTTTGGCCCATAAGCTATTTTTATGTCAAAGAATCAAGTTCTGGCGTCAGTTTTGTTGTATCTGTCCTGGTTAAAAAGTCAAATTTTTTACCACTATGAAAATTAAATATTTCTGCGAAATTTTACTAACAATTGAGCAAATAAACACTTCAAATTAGGGTTTTTCACTATAAAGTTTAATATAAATGAAAAATTTTTTTATTAAAAAACCCTGGCATTATTGATTTTAGGTGGTCGGAGACTTTTCACCAGGGAGTGTACATACTGTATAGCTCTTTATTTAATGACTACGCTATAATTATTAATTGCCGGTCCGCCACTTAATGGTACAAAATGATTGGCAATCTATAATTAATTTCAACGGACTTTTATATATTAAATACTATTGCTCTGGAATGGTGTTTACACTATCTTAAAAACACGTCACAACAACATAAATACTTCAAAAATTTGCTAGAAAAAGGTATTACATTACCTGGGTGTGTTTTCCAAAACTGGTAGGATTAAGGTGTGCCAAAAAAAAAACTAAAAAAGAACAATAAAAATATATATATATTTTTTTTGTTATTTTATTAATTTGGTAAAGAAAATAATATATATTTTTTAATAGTGTTAAAAAACCTCGTAAAATTTGCAAAATTCATGTATAAAAAGTCTTATCTTAACTAAAATATAAAATGGAATGGTGACTTCCTCCAAGGTAAACTTGTTAAATTTTAAATCGAACGATGAAAAAATTTTTTTTTGTGGCTTATTCACGTTTAATGTTATTGATTGGTGAGTCATCGTTACATTTAAACGTGACCTTGTAGGACAAAATCGACATCAAAATATGCCAATTAACGTAATTCATATAAAATCTGCGCCGGATCTACAAATTAATTTTGTACCGTTAAGTGACAGACTGGCAATTAATATAGCTATCATAATAAAAAAAAATTTGGAGTAACATGTGCAGTGATTGATATGTACTGGCTCAGATCTGGACCGAAGTGACAATAGCCCAATTATGGAACCGAAACGGGTTTCAGGCTTGGCTCTACTCGACTCGGTTTTTTCAATAGTATCAGTTCGGAGCTGAACCGATTAACTGAATCAAGTCGTCCTATTCTATGACTCAGACCCTCTCAGACCTGACTTTTTTTTATATATATTTTGGGGTCTAGCGCCATACTGATCAAAAATCCTGGGTGGTTGCATCCAAGGTACTTTGGGATTTATGAACGACTACCCTGAAGTAAATTAGGGATTTATCCAAGGAACTACCCGGGAATTTTGATCAGTACGGCGCTTCATAGATTACGAAGCGATACTTCATTAGATGTGGAATGCTGATCAGAATTGTTAATTGTAGAAAATCGTACTGATAAAATATTATTATCCGGATCAATATTATACGAGTTAGAGTTTGCTCTTTTACTAATCAATCGCTCTTGTTATTCAACTGAAATAGGAATATTCTTCAAATCATATTACTGTCAGTACTGATTTTTCTGCAAGCGGTAACATTTTTTCAACGTCTCAGACATTAACGTTCATAATCATTACTCCAATCAGTAACAATCACCTCACCGCAGTATGGTTATTTGAAAAATTCTCTTCATTTGGTTCATTTAATATATAAGAATAGTAGTTACATTTACGGTTCCTAATAATCATTCTATTGATATTTTCACGGATGGAAAAGATGAATAACATTCTAGCCAAAAAGTATGTTAAACAATTGTCCCACAAAGTCATCTGATTTTCAGGATGTGCCTACTCGATCCGAAAATCTAGGATTTTCATCATACTGTCTTTTCAACATCAAAGTAATACTTATTTGAATTATTCTAATTTACTCAATTTCAGTAATAAAAATTATAATTTATATGTAAAATTTATAAAGACACTATATTTTTCATTTATTGGCTGATTCTTATTTTTTAACCCTATAAAAAATTTTTCGGAAAAATGATCACGTGTCTGAGTTTCTTCGGAATAAAAATTAGAAAAATGATCATTTACCGGAGCTTTTTCCAGATTTTTTTTTATAGGGTAAATTTTGTATTATGAATTTTAGCGAACTATTATATTTATAATTTCATTTCTACATTTTTTAAAAAAATTCTTTCTAAAAAAAGTGCGCAATAATAAAATTTGGAGGGTAATCCTAGCTTTTAATATCTGTAACAGATAATTAAAGCTATTAATTCCAGGGATGTTAGATTGCTTAAGCAGTTCGGCGAACTCGAATAACATCCCTAATTAATTCCCATATTTTTTTACACATTATTAATAAACGTCTTGTTTTACAAATCGTATAACTTTTTAGCTAATGTGTCACATGTATTTTTTCCCAATCCATAGTAAATGATTATATACTACTTAATATACATTATGTTCACACTGTATATTATAAATATTAATTTTAAGGAATTACTATATAATTTACTTTTTTTTTAATTCTTTTGTAATTTTTATTTTGTTTTAATAGAAATTAATAAATTAAAAAATAATTCCAGTCTTAAATAAGCCTTTAAGGAGTAACAACTATAAAAATTGGTTTCTCACTTCATATACTCAATTTTGAGATATTTTTATTTATAATTTTATAAATTCATGGATTGGACACGGATTTTGTTTTAAAATTTTTTTTTAAAAAATATACTGTTAATATTAGCATATAAATTTTTTTTTGTATATTCATAAAATTTGTTGGAAGGTAAAAGAATCAATTTTTTTATATTTGCTGTTCCTAATATTTCCCTACTAATAACTTCAAAAATAGGATTAATTCATGTCGCGGATGTTAATGTTAAGTTGTGCTTTATTCCTATGATCCTATCGATATACAATATGTGTTTTGAGTTACATAATAAAGATTTAATATGATGAATTAATGAATTATTGTATGTACTTTAATAAATTACCCATCATTTATTGATACGTCAATGCTGATTATACTTCAAATTCCAAAGTATTTTCTTCCATATTTCCACTTTTGTCTCCCTATAAAAAAATTGTATACGTTTTTTATAAAGTTTTTATACAATTTTTATTCCTTAGAAATAACGTATCATAAAAGGATACGGAAAAATGCACAATTCTGTATCACTAAAAATATGGTTTGGATACGGAATTTACATGGAATTCGTATGGAATTTACATGATTTGATCACTGATTTTATCATTAAATTTATACGATTTGGTCACTGAATTTACCATTTATATTACAGTTTATTATAGTTGTATTTACATAAATTTAGTTCTACTTTATTAAATTAAATAAAAAATAAAAATAAACAAAATACAAATACATTAAATACATTATTAAAATTCCCTTTCTTATCAAAACCACCTATTGCAACCAAAATT